GGGGGGGGAGGGGGCTGCGCTTCTTTTCTCGGAACGTGCCCATCTAATACGTGTGCATCATGCTAATAATGGCTGAGCGTGGCAGGCAAATTCCAGCTTCAGGTCTACCCAATGGCGGGCCATTTCATCCAGGAAGACGTGCCGGATCAATGCGCCCAGACCGTCATCGAATTCCTCAAGCGCAACGATAGGAGCGCTCTCGTGCTGCCGCCAAAAGTCTCGGATCTCCTGGCACAGGGAAAGAAGGTTTGATGAACATACTCTGACCGATGGGAACAGCAGCGTTCTGATATTATTTTTGATCCTTGATTCTAAACAAAATACCCTTTTTGGATTTTCCTTTTCCTTTTTCGAGCGCCGTGCCCGTTACCAAAACGCCAGGCAATGCTAAGTAGCTAAACGGAAATTGGGAATCATATAACCGTGGAGGGATGGATGGCCTTGGTGAACGGCAAATGAAGAAACGAATAGACATGCAGAAAGCAAGCGGCTGCCGACGAAATACAAAAAATCATCATGCCTCTTGCGCGACTTGTTCCGCTTGCTCCGGTGCCTCTCCGTCCGCCTTGGCCTTGTTCTTCCGCTTTCTCTTCCGCTTGGCCTGCTCCTCGGACGTTGTCCCCTCACCGGCCGGCTTGTCAACGTTGTCTGACTTTTTCTGCGCCTGTGGTTCCGATCTCTTCTTGGGCTTCTTGGCGCTCAATGGATTCGGTGCCTTGGGTCCCGTCCTCTTCTTCTTCTTCTTCGGCTCGGGCTGCGCAGGCGCATCCTCCATGTCCGTATCTTCGTCGCTCCCGTCTTCGTCCTCACCCCGCTTCCTCTTCGGCGGGGCAGCAGTGGCAGCGGTGGGCCGCGTCTTCAAGCCCGCTCTGAACTTCTCCGTCTCCGTCCTGTCGCGCACGTCTTCGGTGGCGCCGGCCATGGGTTCCATGATCATGACACTCCGGTTGATGTAGATCAGAGGCACGCCGGGGATCTTGCGCAGGTAGGAGCGCAGCGGCTGCTCCTGGCTGGCGACGACGTAGCGGTGCTTGTTGGTCTTGGAGTCCTTGGGGTCGAGGACGGATTTGACGCAGTCGAGCGTGGAGAGCGGCTCATCGAGCGTGTGGTGGTTGCAGCGGCGGCGCTCGAAGGCCTGGGCATGGCCGATGGCGACCTGGTCCTTGGAGGCGTAGAGGTGGCGCATCGAGCACTGCGTGATCATCGGCTTGACCTTGCCTTGGAGGGTGCGCTCAAGGTAGCTGGCGAGGTCCATCTTCATGCGCGTCGAGTCGAGGACGATCTCGGAATCGACTGTGATGGCAGGGTCAGCCAGAGGCAAGGCTGCATTGGTGAGTGGAATCGAACTGGACGCACCCAGGACTTGGTAGGGTTCGCGGAAGCCGAAGGTGAGGGCATACTGATGCATCAGCTTGCGGTACTGCTTCGCCCGCTTGCCGCGCATGGTGAGTGATCGGGGGGGTGTGCCGGACGGTTGCGGCTCGAGGCGGACGTTCTCAGAAAGAAAAAAATCTGGGGCATGCGCTTGGGCGGGTGTTGCGTGCAGCGTAAAAGATAAGCATTGGCCCGTGCGCACCGCCGTCGCCGGTCCGGTGCCTGCCTGCCTACGCAATGTCTCAAAGGGCAGGGGCAGGCGCCGAGCGGATGGGGCAGCAGACAGCCCGGGATGACCAGGCCTTTCTTGTCTCTGCGAACACAATCCGACACACCACCTTCAATGCCGACTTCCGCGCCCTCATAGCCCGCGAAAAACGGCCTGCTGTCCTCTGCCACCTCCCCCCTCCGCCCACCACGCCGTTCCTCGCCCCGCGCCCCGACGAGGACAACCATGTCCTCGGACGCCGCTCCTGTTGTTCCTCCTCCCGCCGCCGCCGCCGCAAATGAGCCCCCAGCGCCGGTAGCTCCCCAGTCCGCCCAAGCGCCACCGAAGCAGGATCCTGTCGATCTGAGCGTCGAGCTCGATGACTTCGGCCTGCCCATACGGAAGAAGCCTCCGCGCCGCCTGGTTTCCGAGGCCAGCGAACAGGACCTGCGCAGCGCCGCCGCCGCCGCCGACGAGCAGCCGCAGCACCAAGAAAGGCCAGCGGAGAACCTGTGGGAGGCAGAGGCGCTCGCGGCGCAGCACGCCGCCCCGCCTGTTGCAAACTCTGGTCCCCCGCCCTTGCTAGGGAGCGCTCTTGACGACGGGGATGTGAGGCCGGTCCCGTCAGACGGACACGCGTCGCCGCAAGGTGGCGACAAACACGCAGAAGCCACGCCAGACGTCCTCGCGGAGGCGTCTGCATCCGGCGACAAGCATGTAGAGGTGGGGGCCGTGTCGGAATGGTCACATCAGCAGCTGGCGCCGAAGAAGGAGGAGAAAAAGGGTGATGACTGGGACGACGGCGGGTGGCAGGACATGCCCGCTTACGCTTCATATGACATGTATAACGACGATAATAGGCTGATCGCACGGGAGAAGGACGACCTCAGCGATGACGAGGAGCTGGAATACGGCGCCCTGGGTGGCGCTGGAAAAGGCTACACAAGAGTTCAGGTTGACGAGGACGCGCAATCGGCCACGAGCATGGACGACAACACGGCTTATCTGTTCAAAGGCGCGAAAAGCACCAATGTCGCTGATGACGACGAGGAAGCGCGGGACCCGCTGTCACAGATGCAGGCCACTAAAGACCTGCTCACCGAGGGCCAAAGGATCGCATACGTCGGAGTCGTCAGATTGACCATGCTGGAAATGGTCAAGGAACTCGAAAAGCTGGAGAGGACGAAGGCAAGCAAGAAGCAGATTGACACGTCCTCGGAAGCAATGAAGATGTGGAGCCAAAAGATGATGGTTCGGTTGTATAGCCACATGGAGATCGAATCTGCAGAGCAGATCATGATCGAACAACTGGGTCAGCACGGCGTCCAACCCAACGATCTCACCCCAGCACTCATGCAGAATGCGCGGGTGAAAAATCCCGTGGCCGAGCCAGCATCAAGCCGGCCGTCTGTTTCGTCTCCACGGCCTAGCTCCACGTCGAGTGCTCCGTCCACTCCGGTCCCAGGCACTCCGGGCTCGTCAGTACCCCCGCCCTATGAAGATCATGGCGGAGAGGAGATGCCAGAAGTCCGCACTCCTTCTCAACTCCCCACAACCAAAAGTATTGACATTGACCTCCGATGGACTGTTCTGTGCGACTTGTTCCTCGTACTGATCGCAGATTCTGTCTATGACGCGAGATCACGGGAGTTATTGGAGAGGGTCGGAAAATATTTGGAGGTGCCTGATCTGGACATCTGCCGCTTCGAGAAGCGCGTCACGGATGCTCTCGAAATGCAAGAGGCGGCAAATGATCAGAACTGGAATGATGAGGGACATCTGGAAAGTCGTGCTAAGATGCAGAAGAGCAGACGACTGGTGATGATGGGGCTGGCTACTGTTGGAGGAGGACTGGTGATCGGCTTGTCGGCAGGTCTCCTCGCCCCCGTCATTGGCGCAGGTCTTGCAGCTGGTTTCACGACTATCGGTGTTGCTGGCACCAGCAGTTTCCTTGCAGGCGCCGGTGGTGCGGCCATCATTACCACTACTGGTGTGATCTCGGGAGGCACAGTCGGTGTGCGAGCTTCGCACCGCAGAACAGGGGCTGTCAAAACGTTCGAGTACAGGCCCCTCCACAACAACAAGAGGGTGAACATGATCATCACGGTCTCTGGGTGGATGAACGGCAAGGTTGACGACGTCCGTTTGCCGTTCAGTACGGTGGATCCTGTGATGGGAGATATTTACTCGGTCTTTTGGGAACCGGAAATGCTGCAAAGTATGGGTCAAACCATCAACATTCTAGCCACAGAGGTAAGAGATGCCTGCCCCGTTGCCGTTGACGGAAGCTCACCCACTTCTAGGCCCTTACTCAAGGCCTGCAACAAGTTCTCGGTAGCACCATTCTCGTCGCTCTCATGGGCGCGCTACAACTGCCGATCGTTTTGACGAAATTATCCTACCTCATTGACAACCCGTGGAATGTGTCACTGGCACGCGCAGAGTTGGCCGGGTTGCTTCTCGCCGACTCGCTCATCGATCGCAACCTTGGCGTGCGGCCCACTACGCTCGTCGGTTTCTCATTGGGAGCCCGCGTCATCTTTTCCTGCCTGCAAGAACTCTCGAGGAGAGGGGCGTACGGGCTGGTGCAGAACGTATTCCTCTTTGGTTCTCCCATGGTGGCGAAGAAAGATGAATATCTCAAAGCCAGATCGGCTGTTTCGGGTCGGTTCGTCAACGGGTACGCAACGAACGACTGGATCCTCGGGTATCTCTTCCGTGCTACCAGTGGAGGCATCATGGGAGTGGCTGGTCTTGCTCCGGTCCAGTGCCCCGGTATTGAAAACTTCGACGTCACTGAGATGGTGAATGGGCACATGGCGTATCGCGCAGCAATCCCGCGCCTGATGCGTGAGATGGGCTGGGCTGTGGAGAGCGATGAGTTCGCCGAGATCGAAGACCCAGATCCGGACAACCACGAGGCAAGGCAGCGCGAGCTGATCAACGAGATTGAGGAAGCGCGCAAAGAAATGGAGCAGAAGCCGCAGAGGAAGAGCGGGTGGAACTTCTTCAAGAAGAAGCAGGCAGAGAAGAAGGAATGGGAGATGTACGACGAGAAGGCGAAGGGAGGGGACGACAAGAACAAGAACGTGCTGTTCGACGTGGAAGCCATCAAACAGGAGGCGGCGGACATCGCGGCTCAGGGAGTCGAGGTGAAGCAGCTTGACAGCACGCTCCCGCCCATGGCGCTGGATGGCCCACACTCCAAGCTCCGGCAGACACAGAGCTTCGACGAGTCCATGTTCGAGCAGAGCAGCGGCAGCAAGACGAACTCGCACCTCTACGACGGGTCCGAGTACGACGCGAACCCCGACCGTTGGGAGGACGACGGTGGCGGCGGCAACATTTCGATGTCGTTCGAGCCTTCTTACGAGACGCCTCCGGCATCAAGGCATGGAGGGGGGGCAAACGGGTCGTCGACATGGAGTTCGCCCAGCGTCGAGAGACCGCCGTTGCGCACGTCGAGCACGTTGCCCGTCAACCTGGGGAGCGTCGAGCACAACGCGTGGGCGGACGACGAGGCGGACGAATGGGGAAAGGAGAAGGAGATGCAGATGACGTTTGAATAGGGTCCGATCGCCTTTGTCCTCGGCGATTGGCGTCGACGGGCTTTGTTTCTTTTTTTTCTTTTTCTTTGTCTTGCTAAAGCATGTGCGGCGTTGGGTTTTTTTTATTGTTGCGTTTTCCAAGAGACGGGGTTTGCTTCTATCTTGTAGGGCATGACGACGACGATGGGGCATTTGCCGGGGAAAGAACAGGTAGATGACGGGCGTCGCGAATCGCTGATGCGCCGCGCATATTGTGATAGGCGTTGGTTCTTTGGATGGGTCATGGTTGGTGCGGGCCTCATCCTGCACATTGAAGAAGAGCTGGGCAATGTTTCACCGCCGGTCTGTGGTCGTCCTCTTGTCTGGCTTCGTCGGTGGCATGTGCGGAGACATTGGCATTCCGGTGGATGCGGCTGTAATGGGGGATGTTGAAGAGGGGGGGTCTGGGGCTGGGCCTTGGCGGTGAGCAGGGCGGAGGCGGGGTGGCCAATTGCTCTTGTTTACAAAGTACAGTAGTTGTAATCAAGTTGGTTTCTGCATGGGGGTGTGAGCTGACAAGAGCGTGGCTGTGGGCGCACGCTGTGGTTGGACCGAGGCTGTCTTTGGGCGGAAATATCTCAAAAAGCATCTGGGCCGGAGGGAGACGACGTTACGGGGAGGATCAGCAGGTTGACTCGAGTCAATCTCCGCCGTCGCCGGCATTGGCCCGGCTGTCGGCCTCGATGGTGCTGGCCTCAAGCCTCGAGCACGTTGCTGTGGACAGCGGAGCCTCGTGGTACTGTCGACATGCACCTAGGTTTAGGTTGCCGCCAGCCGGGAGGATGACGGCAAGCCGTTGGCGCCGTCTCCCACGCCGGTGCAAAACGGAGCTTGCGCACGGTCAGCGGCTCTCTTTTCCCCACACTCGTCCTCATCAGCCTGATGACGGCAACTGCTCTCTTCCCTTTTGCTGGCGCCGGTCCGGAGCCTGCCCCTTGCTCACCGCCCTACTATTCCAAATTCCACGTCGGCTCCCCCCGTCGACAAGCTCTTCTCCGACTCCTCCGAGCCCAAAGCTTTCTCGATCCCTTTCCCGTCCCTTGGTTCGTCATTATCTGCTTCGTTTCGAAAAGGCCGACGGGCGCCATGGCCTCCTTACCAAGCGGCTTCGTCATCGCTGGTTAGGCTTCCACGAGCCACCCATGGAACGTACCGGAGACAGATGTATTTGCCGTCCTGTAGGATGATGATGCCGGGACGCAACTGTCATACTCTCCCTTTCCCGCCAAACGGATGCGCAATCGCCAGAGTCCCCTAGCGGGCCCTCTTTCCCGGACACGGGAGTCGGCCTGGCCCAATCCGGGTTCCTCGACGACTTACTCAGCGTGTCAATCGCACCGGGATTTGACCCGCTGGATCTGGGGCCTGTCGTTGGACTGAACGCAAAAAAACGTCTTACTGGCGCCATCAGAGCTCGGGCACTCGATCAGTGATGGTTCGGCCGCGGACCTAAAGACGGCTTTCGTATATAACATGGTCCGGACCCGCGCTTCTCTGCTCAGGCCTACACTCTCCAACTGTTGGTGTCGCCGCGGTACACCATCACTTCGCCAGAATGCTTAGCAAAGCTGTCGCAACGGGCCTGGCCCTCGTTTCTGCGGCCTCGGCGGCAAAGCAGTGCCTCAACCAGACGGTCTCGGTCGACATTGAAGCCCGCAATGCCGTGTTTGCCGCCAGCACCATCCCCCACAGCAACATCGATGTCACGTGGTTCATCCAGAACATGACCCGCCAGGGCCACAACTTCACCGACGAGGCCCTGACCGGGTACAAGACCATCAGCGGCACGTACAACGTCAGCACCCAGTACTGCTGGAACGACCAGACGGCGTCGGACAACACCACCTTGCAGATCTTGACCCACGGCATTGGCTTTGACAAGACGCATGTGCCCTTCAAACCTGCAGGAAGAAGCACTCACTGATGCCGTCTCAGATACTGGGATCTGCCCTTCCACGACTACAACTACTCGTACGTCAACGCCGCCCTGGACGCCGGCTTCGCCACCCTCAGCTACGACCGGCTGGGCATCGGCAAGTCGCAGCACGGCGACCCGCTCAACGAGATCCAAATCAACCTCGAAATCGCCGCGCTGCGCGCCCTGACCGAGCAGGCGCGCCAAGGCCGCTTCCCCAACGTCAACGCCACCTTCTCCCGCATCGTGCACGTCGGCCACTCGTTCGGCAGCATCCAGTCGTACGTGCTGGCCGCGCTGCACCCCACCCTCACCGACGGCCTCGTCCTCACCGGCTTCGCCCTCAACTCGAGCTTCAACCAGCTCTTCCTCGCCGGCGGCAACTTCCAGCAGGCCTCGGCCAACGCCCCGCTGCGCTTCGGCTCGCCCGCCCTCGCCCAGACCGTCGACGACTTCCTCTTCCGCTCGAGCCCGCTGTACGACTGGCTGTCGCCGCTCGACGACCTGACGGCGGCGCTGCCGTCGCCGCCGCAGGACCTCCCCGACGGCTACATCACCCCGGCCAACGCCGGCGCGAACCAGTACCAGTTCCTGCGCCCGCCGTACTTTGACGAGGCCATCCTGGCCTTTGCGGAGCGCTCGAAGCAGCCCGTCACCGTCGGCGAGCTGCTGACGCTCGGCGGCGCCGCGCCCGCGGTCAACGAATTTGCCGGCCCCGTGCTGGTCTTCACTGGCGGTACGTCGTCCTTTTCTTTCTTTCTTTCTTTCCTTCCTTCTTTCCCCCCC